TATATGTCTGTAACATAATAATCTTTCATATGGTTGCTTGTGCTTAGAGAAAATAGATGTTACCTTGTATTAGTATAAGGTTCAAGGATACAAGATTTTTACACTTACATTTGTCTCTCTCTCTCTGTATATATGTATATGTGCATATATATATAGTTGTTGAGACAGGACGAGGCATTAAATGGCATGGTGATGAAGCCCAGGCGTCCGCGTGCTGTTGTCCTCTGCCCAACACGGGAGTTATGTGAACAGGTTAATGATGGTTTTTGTACCCATTCTGAAAGATCTTATTCTTGTAATGCCCTTCAAACTCAGATGGAGGTTGGATATTGCAGGTATTCAGTGTTTCAAAGTCTATTAGTCATCATGCTCGATTCAGGTCAACAATGGTTAGTGGTGGTGGTCGTCTAAGACCCCAAGAGGACGCACTGAATTCACCAATCGACATGGTGGTGGGAACACCTGGCAGGGTTCTTCAACATATTGAAGAGGGCAACTTGGTGTATGGTGATATCAGATATCTGGTGACCCCTCTAATCCGTCTCTTTTTGATTGCTTCCAAATGCATATAAAAAGTCCATAGAATCAAGATTCGAGTGTTTTTTTTTGCCATCCTCTAATACTCTTTATGATGGCAAATCTTATGTTATTAGGTGTTGGATGAGGCAGACACCATGTTTGATCGGGGGTTTGGTCCAGATATTCGCAAGTTTCTTGGCCCATTGAAAAACCGTGCACTTAAAGCAGATGGTCTAGATTTTCAAACTGTTTTGGTGACTGCGACAATGACAAAAGTATGCTAACTATCTTTATTTTATCATAATGTTACAGGAAATGGTGAAATTTATCATTTTTTGCTTTCACTTAGCATTAAAATAAACAAAATTTGATGTGCAAATAAGAGAATCTGGGTGTCGGACTACTGACTTTGTGATTTCTTGCAGGGCGTGCAGAAGCTAGTTGATGAGGAGTTTGAAGGGATTGAACATCTTCGCACTTCAACTCTGCATAAAAAGGTTGCTTCTGCTCGCCATGATTTTATCAAGCTTTCGGGTTCAGAAAACAAGCTGGAAGCATTGCTACAGGTCTCGTTCTTTTTTTCTCTTCCATCATTGTTACATTTATGGTGGAAAAATATTTCGATTTTGAATAACTATAAGAATTGTTTTCAATATAAACTTGTTGTGGCCTTGAAACTTTAGTAATAGATAACTACATTTATGTACAAACCGTTGTAAACACATTGATCTAGATTTGAGAATATCGGCTCTGAAAAGAGGAGATTTTTGTTCATCTTTTGGTTCTAACGTAGAAGTTAATCCCCCAATTTAAATGATGATGTTTATGTAGGTTCTCGAGCCAAGTTTAGCGAAGGGAAATAGAGTGATGGTGTTCTGTAATACGTTGAATTCTAGCCGTGCAGTGGACCATTTCCTTAGTGAAAACCAACTCGCTACTGTTAACTATCATGGTGAGGTACCTGCTGTTGAAAGGTGAGATGATATCAACTGCTTCCTTTCTTCCATTTTCTTGTGAAAATCCGTGCAGTGGACCATTTCCAATTTTCTTGTGAAGGAGGGAGTCCTGTTACTCCTTTCTTCCATTCCGTTAAAATCAACAACCCGTTTCCAGCTGTTGCATGAAAAATTCAATGGTATAATTATCTGCATACTATCAGCTTTGTGTCTAACAATGGATTTACTTGTGAACCAGAGTTGAAAACCTAAAAAAGTTCAAAAGTGATGACGGAGATTGCCCCACGCTCGTTTGTACGGATTTGGCAGCTCGAGGATTGGATTTGGATGTCGATCATGTTATTATGTTTGATTTTCCCTCGAACTCTGTAAGCTTTTCATATAATGCTCCTAAAGTTGTCATACTCGGATCATAATTCTTTTTGTGGGTTCTAAATATAGATCTCTATTTTATTTGCGTTTCAGATTGATTATCTTCATCGGACTGGGAGGACTGCTCGCATGGGTGCAAAAGGTTATTTACGTCGTTGTTTTTCCTTTTCTTTTCTTGCCTCGTTATCAATAACTGTAAATTCATTACTTCCTCATCCCGTGAAAATTTCATCAAGTTCCATTTTGTGGTTTCCGATAGTAATTGCAATGTTTTCTTTTTCTTGGTAAATTTTGGAGCTAAAATTGCCGATTTGACCTTTTGTCGTTCTTTTTGACACTTGACTTGTACTAAATTCATGTATCTTCTCTTTTTCTGTTGTTTTTGCAGGAAAGGTAACAAGCCTAATTACAAAAAAGGACCTCACTCTAGCCAACCGTGTTGAGGAGGCCATGAGGAAAAACGAGAGCTTAGAGTCTCTCACCATAGATAACGTTCGAAGAGACAGTGGCAGGCCGAAACTGCAAGACCATAAAGCAAAAGGTACAAGGCCAGTCAAAGTGTCCTCCGATCAAAGAAGCAACAAAACTTTTTCGTCTGCAAAATCACCCGCCAAAAGCTTCTCGATGCCTAAATCTGGTAAATCTGTCACCTTTTCCAAATCACCCACTAAAAGAACTTCACCAGGCCCCAAATCTGGTAAAGCAGTAGCCTTTTCCAAATCTAAGAAAACAACGGCTAACCCTTCCTCCAAACCACCCACGTTTTCAAAACCAAACAGCTCTAAAAGACCTATCGTGACAGCTGGTGGGAAAACTCGCTCAATTGGCCAGAAAGCCGGTGTTGTGAAATCTCCTTCAAAGCTGAATGTTGTCGGATTCAGGGGACGGAGTTCTTCATAAGATTGAACGAGGGCTAGTTCGTAAGTGCCTTTCCAGTTTTACTTCTTGATGAATTACTCCATGAAATTATATGATTGCAGCAACTCATATTTCAAAGCATCAATCACATATTTTATACAAAAATGCATGTGATTGTGTCATCTTACATAGATAAAATATACAAACCGAAATCATGATAAACAGGGATGCAAGTCATGGGTGGTTGAACTTGTTTTGCAGAATCACTACATAAAAAGACAGTTTATTGAATCTTGGTGTTTATTTCCAGGTAAGAGCGAGTAGTCTTGGTTTTGTAGGAGCGATATTTCCTTGAGAGTCGTAAATTATGACACCGGAGAAATCCGGTAGTTGACACTTGCCGCCCATCAGTATATTCTTTTGCCAAACGGATTCTTCTTCTTCTTCTTCTTCTTCTTCTTCTTCATCTTGAAATCCATTGAGTTGTATAACAGGTTCTTCGTAACTGTAACTGTAGCAAGCTTTTAAATGATGAACCCATTTTCGTGAATGGCCGGCACACATGAACAATGTCAAGGCACAGAAGAAAACTGAGCCAATGGCTAAGCAGAGGTGTGATGCCCCCTCGGTTAGAGGGTGGCTCGGTAGCGGGCGAGCCATTGTTGGTTTTGGTTTTGGTTTTGGTTTGTAGTTCCTTCCTGGCTTGATGTAAAAGATGATGCTTATGTTTTATAGTGTAATATTGTGGGGGTAGGTTTAGAGGGTTTGTTGATGTGGGTAATGGTTTAAGTTTTGTGGTTTTGGTGGCTTAACGTATAACATGGAACTGCTTTATTTGCATTCGAGAACAATAATATGCTTTGTTGACTTTGACCGTGTTACAATTAAATTAATGTTACAAAAAATCTGTTAAAAGAGTTTTCAATACTTTTTAATGGCAAACGTTGTGTGAGAAAAATAAAAGATTTAAAACATGTGTTTTTATTAAGACATTAAGATATATATATAGAGAAGTGATCAAATGCAAATGACTCTTTTTTGTGCAAAACCTTACAAACTACTTTTGTCTATCCATTTTCTTGATTAATGGTCTTGATTAAAATGTGTTATATTAGGAAAGTAAAAATAAAATAAAATATTTAATATTTAATCAAGAAAGGGTAAAATTGGCAAATCATTTTTAACTTCCAGCCATATTGTTCGATTCTTTTGGAAACATTTTGGAAACTGTATCTCATTTTAAAAAATAATACGATTTCATTAGTGAAATTGGTTTCATCAATAAAAACATTTTGGAAACTGTATCTAATTTTTTCATTAGTGAAATTGGTTTCATTGTTCGTCTTTATAATGAGATTTTAGCCAGATGTGGTTCAGTCAATGGAACATTTTCCAAAAATCCGAATAACATGTTGAAATTCATTTCGTCATTGAAATTGGTTTCATGGACTCTATAATTCCAAAAACTGAATGACATTGTTTCAGCAGTGAAATTTATTGAAATGTTTCCTAATCAAAATGAAATCGGTTTCATGGTTTCTAACCAAGATGAACTCGGTTTTACATATGAAACTAAATATTGTTTAGTCAATGAAACACTTCAAGAACTGAATAATAAAATTTCTTTCATTTTTAAATTTGTTTCATGTTTCCTAACCAAAATGGAATATCGGTTTCATGGTTTATAGCCAAGATGAAATTGGTTTTTATTAATGAAACCAAATATGGTTCAGTTAATGAAACATTACAGGACCTAAATACATTATTTCATTAATGAAAGAGTTTCATGGTTTCTAACCAAAATGAAATTAGTTTCATTTTTGAAACATTTTGATGTAGTATTTTTACAAATAGATTCTTTTGTTATTATGACAATGAAATAAATAATTTCATAACAAATAAATTATTACAAATATACTTTGTAATTGATGTAGTATTTTTAATTTAATAAAAGAATATAAAATATTAATGATAATAATTATATATTAAATAAATTGATTTACAATTTTTTTAAAAACAGTTACTCTATTTAATCTTCCATATTTAGAACCAATTAAAACATTATCAAGATTATCTATTACAAAGTAAAATGACATTCATATATTTATTTATTACAAATAAAAAGAAAAACATGAAATTATTCTATTGGTTGATGGTAGTTTCTATTGTTTGCATGAAATAGGAGGTTTGCAAAGTAACCTCCTCTCTCTCTATGTTTTCTATTGTTATTTAATGAGTTAATAAATACATTCCTAATCAAAGATGTTGCTAATACATATATCCTTATAAACACAAGTTTAAGATGTTGAGAATATCCAATTTGGTTCAAAATTCAATTTGTCATTGTTACCCTTTGTTTGAGAATATAAAAAGGAATATTCAAACTACAAGGGTGGTGTCTGATTGGTTTAAGTTTGGCTCCAAAGGTTAAAAGTATCAGGAGGTCTCAGGTTCAAATCCAAGAAGAAATAAAAAATCCCCTTGTGGCCACGGAGGTTCAAATGCGGTGACTCCGGGCTATTTGCAAAACAGGTGATCACCTTTGGATTAGTCGGCTCAGATAGCGGGTTGGATATTCAGGTTAATAGAAAAAAGGAATATTCATTTATTTACATCATTTCATGGGATTAATTCATTTATAGAAGATTTTTTTAATGTCTTTTCTCTTTTATGTCATTCACCTTCTCTATACAAACTTCTTTCTTTTTTCCTAGTAACATTTTTAACCAAATCTAGTTTTTTAAAGTTAGCACGACATCTGAGAAATTACAAGTTTTTTACACAGATCATTAATTCGGTCAGTTTGGGGTCAAGATTTTACGCGGTTGGATCAAACCATCAACACCCGTGTGGAGGACTTCTCATAAATTTATATTTTGATTTATTTGGACACAAAATTCGATAGTTTTGGACATGGACTCTGATTAGGTTATACATTAGGCACAATTTTGTTCCTAACACACATAGTTATTAGAGAATAATAGAAAGCGGGAGTGAAGAAACTCATGATAATGAATATTATTGTTGTTGAACTTTTTTTGACGTATAATTTACAAGATGATTCAAACAACCAAGAGCACAAGATGATATATCTTTTTTCCTCATAAATGATGCCACTGTTATAATTTTTCTTATAAATGTTGTTAGCCTTGTTTTGTTTTGTAGGCAATAAGTCACAAGATTTATACTAAAATCCTAAGAAGCATGGATATAGTTGTGTTATTGAATGATATATATATATATATATATATATATATATATATATATATATTACCTTTGAAATGCAATCCATTACATTTGTATAACCAATGCAACCCAATAAATTAAGATATTTATGGAAATGATGAAAGTTCATTTATTATGATTTAAATATTTATAAAAGATGACTAGGGTTCATTAATTATGATCAGTTATTTATATTAGGAAACAATCAAAACCTTTATAAAATCACATATTAATCAAATTAAATGGATGGTTAAAATTGAGTTATATTGGTTATACAAATATAAATGATTACGTAATAACCCCATCTCTTTCTATATATAAATATCTTATGTTGTTAGTGTGTGGAGGATATATGCCACAAGTGTTGCTCTTTTTGTATCTCTTAGGAGACATGCTCCGTGGGCATTGTTTGCTAAGAGAAAAGACTTGCTTTTTTTTTTTTTTTTTCTCTTTTTGACCAGATTCATGCTTCTTTCCATCAACAACAAAACAAGAAGATATGGAGCAATTGCAAGACAAATAACTTGTGGGGTCTCCAAAAGATACACATACAATATGTATACTGTTATTTTTATTCACAATCGTTAGATTAAAATAGATGAATGCTTCTTATGGGTTCTCTTCTTTTAAATATTCTATCTTATACTCACCACATATATATATATATATATATATAGAGAGAGAGAGAGAGAGAGAGAGAGATGATCAAACAAAAACAATGACCAAATCACATGTTATTTTACATGCGATTACAAAACACAGTCAACGCAAGGGTGGACCATTAATATTTTGAGAAACCAATATTCTTATGCATTAGAGGGTTATTCATCATGAGTACTAACTTTTCTTTAGTTGATTTATGGTTCTCAAAATATTTTGGGTTCTCATCTAAACCAAACCAAGGCTGTAATTATTGGAGCGCTGCACACCCTTCTTATCCTTTTTGGATTCTTATACACATGCTTCTTTGGAATTAATGAGGGATAAGAGTTTTTGGAATAAACAGTGATTCACAGCAACTAAAAGTAAAAAAGATATTCATCTAAATGAAACTGTACATTGAGCAATGTAAGCCCTTTTTCTAACAGCTATGATCCAATGACTCCACACACTCTTAACCAAGACCCTAATTTATAGTTCAGAAAGAATTAACCCTGAAACAATCATCTTATAATCACTTAGTACAAACTACAACAATCACATCATTTATCCAAATCTTTCATGCCCAAACAACACAACTCTTTTACCCATTTGGGACCTCAAAACCCTACTTCTTGATGATGATTTAACTATGAGTGAGTTGATGATTGTTTCATCAGAGGTTGAGAAGTTTTCCCCCATTCTTCAGGTGAGCTCTTGACTTCCATTAACAATGCAACCACCTCTTTCATGGTCGGCCTCTCCGCCGGTGAAGAGTTCACACAGAACATTGCTATCCCAAGTGTTTGTAGCATTTCTTGCACCATCTGATCCGGTAGCCCCTGGAGCTTCATGTCCAGTATGGTCACTGCTGGCTCAAAGCTTCCCATCTTCTTTTTCACCCACTCAACTATATGCGAACCCTCCCTTACCCGATTCTCAACCGCATTACGTCCACTCAAGATCTCTAATAACACCACCCCATAACTGTAGACATCGCTCTTCTCCGTTATGTTCATCGTGTACCCATATTCTGCAAATAAACAACAAAACCCTCTTCATATATGAACAAGTATTTTGATTAAACCAAATGAGCCCGGTATATCCCACCACCTGAAAGTTGGGGTTTTTTTTTTCCAGGGGTGAAATGTACATAGACCTTGCCTCTACCTTAAAGAGTAGGGCAGTTGTTTCCGTGAAAAACCGCAGGCTTAAACAAGTATTTTGATTGTTTATAGTAAATCCAATGATTTGAAACGTTAATACTTGCCTGGGGCGATGTATCCATAGGATCCGGCGACCCTGGACATGGCATGGTGATAGTTTGTAGAACTCATCAGCTTTGCAAGTCCAAAATCGGCCAAATAAGCTTCGTATTTGCAATCCAGAAGGATGTTATTGCACTTGACATCTCGATGGAGAATGGCGGGCAAACAATCATGATGAAGATATGCCAGCCCTTGTGCAGACCCGACTGCAATCTTGTACCTAGTTTCCCAATCCAAGTTCCTGTTACTTTGCAACAGCTGCTGTAAGTTCCCATTAGCAATGTGATTGTAAAGCAGAAGCTTCACACTCTTGTTAGAACAATACCCTAAAAGTTTCACTATGTTCCGGTGCCGAATGTGGCCAAGAATTTGAATCTCGGCTGCAAAAGAGTCGATTGCCGGTTCTTCATCTTTATTCGTCTTCCATAGCTTCTTGACAGCAATGACCTCTCCGTTTGGCATTTCAGCTTTGTATACCATTCCAGAGCACCCTTTGCCGATCACATTCTCATCTTTTAAGCAATCCAAGATGTTATCAATGGTGAATCCAAGCTTTGTGAACGGAATGAATGTCCATGGGTACGAGAAATCGTCCCCCCTGGAGCCAGGGTTTGAGTCGGCTAAAGAATTCTTGATCATGTATCTATGGTTTCTTGACATGAGGATCCAAGTGGCTGCAGCAGCAATGGTCACAGAGACAAGGATTACAACCACCAAACCTATGGTTTTCGCTGATTTCAATCCTTTCCTTGTGGGTGTTCGTGAAGAACACGTATACCCATCAATGGACTCGCAAAGACCTGTGTTTTGGATGAATGATTTGGCCGTTAGGGTTCGAAAGAATGGTGTCATGGGGATAGGACCTGAAAAATTATTGTAGGAAACATTCAGGTAAGTGAGGCTAGTGAGTGTACTCAAGATCAAGATTTTCCCATGAAACGAGTTGTGGGAAAGATCAAGTGACTGCAACTGGGTCAAACCATTGATTGACTCGGGTATCTCGCCTTGGAATCTATTTGAGCTCAAGTCAAGACTAATGGTCAAGCTCGTTATAGAACCGATCTCAGGCGGGATTGGACCTGAAAAACTGTTTGAGCTCAGATCAAGAAGTGTCAATTTCTGCAGGTTTTTTATGGATGCAGGGATCAAACCAGTGAGCAAATTGTTGTTGAGGATGAGCTTATTCAAGTAAGTAAAGTTACCGAAACTCCAAGGGATCTCACCAGTGAATCCGTTTTGACTCAAATCGAGCTGCTCAAGATTCACCAACTCACCTAACTCCAATGGGATTTCACCAGTTATATGATTGTTATGAACATCCAGGAGCTCAAGAACCGTAATGTTTCCGATCTCATAAGGCAAAACACCCGAGAAATGATTGGTGTACAAATCAAGAAACACGAGGTTCGGCAATTGTCCTATTTCTTTAGGAATCGGACCCGAAAGCTGATTCTCTCCTAGCCTTAATCTGACTAAAGATTGGCATTTTCCGACACTCTTAGGCACCTTACCCGACAGCGAATTCCCAAGTAGTAATAGTTTGCTCAGCTTGTTTAAACCAAAGATTTCTTGGGGGATTTCGCCTGTGAGTTTGTTCTTTGAAAGATCAAGCGAGTAAAGCTCAGTGCAGTTGCCAAAAGACGATGGAATCATACCAGAGACCATATTACCCCACAAAAAGAAGCTTTGTAACATCTTCAAGTTCCCAATTTGCCATGGGATTTGGCCGGAAATTTGGTTTTTATCAAGCTGGATGGCTGTAAGACTGGTGCAATTACTAAGCTCTGGTGGAATTGGTCCCGTTAATGAATTCTCGGACAGATGAAGCTGTTCAAGAACCGTTAACTTTCCCAATTCACTCGGAATTTCGCCACTCAATTCATTGGCGGAGACATCAAGTACTACGAGTGACGAACAGTTGGAGAGCTCCAGTGGAATATGTCCGGTGAGAGAATTCCCCCATAGAAGTAAGCTAGTGAGCTTCTGAAGCTTACCCAATTCACTTGGGATCGGACCTTTGAGTTTGTTCATGTGAAGGTACACGTTTCTAAGCTCCGAGCACAACCCGAGTTCAGGTGGGATTGAACCGGATATCTCGGTATCATAGATGGCCAAAGTTTGGAGACTGATCATGTTCTTGAATGTGGTCGGAATCACCCCGGAAAGTCCGGTGGCTGCGACCCCAAAAGTGGTGAGATTGGAGAGGAATCCTAATTCCGGCGGAATCTCTCCAATCAAATAAGGGTTGCCACCTATCCGGAACTCTTGGAGGGAAACCAGTGATCCGAGCTGAGATGGAATGGTGCTGTTTATGAGATTGTCTTGGATGCAAAAGAATTGAAGCGATGAAAGATTTGAAAGTTGAGGTGGGATTGTGCCGGAGAGTTGATTGGAGTCAAGATAGAGGAACTGGAGGGAGGTGAGCTGGCCGAGCTCTGGCGGAATGGGACCGGAGATGGAGTTTGAAGATAGGTCGAGCAGGCGGAGGTGTGGGAAAGAGCCGAAAGAGGGGGGGATTTGACCGGAGATGTTGGTGGAAGAGAGATTGAGGAGTTGGAGGAAGGAGAGAGAGGAGAGTTGTGGCGGGAGAGAGGTGAGATTGAGGAATGTGTTTGGGAGAGAAAGAGAGATGACTCTGTTTTGTGGGGAACAGGTGACACCTTGCCATGAACATGGTGTTAGTGAAGATGAGTTCCAGGAAGAGAGAGAATCAGCGGAAGAGAGGAGAGAGAGTAGGGTTTGGCCGTCGGAAGAGAGGGAAGACACTGGTGATACAAGAGAAAGAATCAAGAAACTGAAAAATATTGGACTCTTATCCATTTTGATGGTTATAAACTTTGGAGATTGATGTCACCAAACGGGTTTTGATGGTTATAATCTTTGGAGATTGATGTTACTAAACGGGTTTTGATGGTTATACACTTTGGAGATTGATGTTACGAAATGGGTATAGAGAAAGATTCAAACTTAGACTCAACTGGAGATCACTGGAGGTTTGGATGGTGGACGGTGGTGGCGGGTGGCGGTGGAGTTTGAAAAAGGTTTCAAAGCCGGGGGACAAAATGCATGTGGAGGAGGTTTTTGAGGTGGTGGGGTATGCTTAAATCGCACTCGTGTGTTTCTGTTACTGAAAAAACAAACCCATGCATGTGAAGCAACAAAAAGATACTCTTTTTATCTTTGCTTCTGATGAAAACTTACCAGGAAACTGTATCCTCCGCCTTACACGGCGGCGCTTCTGGTTCTCGTATTGGTGGTGCCGATGGAAATAGAAGCTGATGAAGTAGAAACGATGGCATACACAAGTACTCTTCTCTTTACTTCAGCAGCTCTCTTTAGTTCTTCACGAGTTAACAGAAGAAAAGAAGAGGGCGGTGATGGTGGTTATGGCGGAGGACATGGGAGTTTGAAGGGGTAGAGAGAGAGAGAGGGTTGGAGTTTGGAGCTTGGAGATACTCAAAATGTTTGGTTTTAAATACCAGCAAATTGTTTATTTTATAAAAAAATGATTAGGGCACCAACGCTGCTCAAAAATACCAAATTACCCTTGAAATTAGCATACACCATTTCGATATTAAAATTATTGATAATGAAAACAGAATTTATGGTTCAAGTAAAGGGAAGGGGTGTTATGTAATTTAAGATTCAGAATCTTAAAAATTGGGATTCAAGGTTTTCAGAGGAAACATGAGATGATTGTGAAAGCTTAAACGATTAAGCATGGAAATCAATTTTATTTAATTAATTGTTCATTTAGGGGTGTGTGTGGAAACGACTTATACTTTTTTATAAAAAATGTTTATCAATTTATTATAAGTTAGAATGATTTAATTTTTTCAAAAACTTTTTATTACCGATTTGATATTGATATAAGTTGTTTATCCAAACACTCAAGAGTATTTATTACCAGTGCAATACCAGAATAAATCAATAAGTTATTTTTATAAGCAATCCCAAATACTCCCTTTAATAGTAAATTTTTATTAAGAGAAGTTATCTTAAAATATATCTGAATAGTTTAGTAATTATATGTATATACATATAGAGTTTGTTTCAAATACAACCTATCGTATTTGTACAACCAATGCAACCCAATAAATTGAAATATTTATGAAAATGATAAGAGTTCATTTATTATGATTTAAATATTTATGGAATATGAATACGGTTCATTAATTATTATTAATACTTTATAATATGAAATAATCAAAAGTTCTATAAATTACATATTCATCAAATTAAATGGACGGTTGAAGTTGAATTGTATTGGTTGTACAAATGTAAGAGGTTTTATAATAACCCATTTCTATATATATGTATATATATATATATATGTGTGTGTGTGAGAGAGAGAGAGATACTTGTGTGTTTTATTAATAATAAATACTTTTACATTTAAAAGAAACCATATAAATTAGAATTAGAATTAGAATTTTGTAGAGGGTGGGGGTTAAAATTGGTATTTCCAAAATATGTCCTATAATTTTAACAGTGTAATTATTGTTTGGCACGGTAAAATACATTTGGGTAACCCGAGGAAGGGGGTAGTGGCTGTGTTTTGGGAATAGGGTTACAGCTTTAATACATAATTAATTAATTAATATTTCACATTAATTAAACTGGGAACAAATTTTAAGTAAATAAGTAATAGTAACTAATTTTTGGGTTTAATTTATAAACTAAAAAGGTATTTGTGCAATGCATCGAGACAAATTTTGATTTCAGTATTTCGTTTTATTCTTTTTCATGCCAATATAATACGGTTTTATGTGGTTTGAGAAATCGGTAATGTTTTTATTTTTGAATAAAATATAAATTTAAAAATATCATATATATATATATATCTCAATATCAGTATCAAATTAATCTTTTTAAAAGTTCTTGTGTTTTGGTGTAATTTTCTTAATTCAAATTTTTTAATTATAATTTAATTTAATTAGGTTTAGTATAAAAGAAATTTAATTTAGGTTTAATAATATAATTTTTTATAAAGATAATAACTAAGTATTCTGTTAGAATTCAATAATTGTCCTAATTATATTTTAGATTGTTTATATTTAAAATGAGATTTTTATCTAATATTTGATTATGTTTATTTGCAGTTAGTTACACGAATTCAAATATAGAGTTTAAGAAGTTGTACTTATGCACAATTTACTTGTAATCATAAATTTTAAGTTATATGCATCAATAAACAATACTTCGTACATAAAAAATGATTTTTAAGAGTTTTTGTCAAATGTTTTATAATATAATATAAATAGAATATATTACGAGGATTTGGTCCTTATAGTTTAACAAAAATTATGACTTGAACCACTAAACTCGAAAAATTATGGACTTAGTCCTTGTGGTTGCATTTTGTTATGAATACAGTCTCTCTCATTAACTTTGCTACCTGTGACTCCGTTAAATTAGGGATATTTGAGTCTCTTTTTGCATTTTATCATATATTTTTATTAAAATATTGAATAGTAAATTATACTATATGTAATTATTTTATTTTACATTCATATTATATATATAATTAAACAATTATAAACTTATGCAAATTAAACAATAAATAAAATCACATCAAACATGGAAATTAAAACCCATAAACCCTCATAATATTGAAAAGGTAGGCTAGATCAAAACCCTAAGGGGCGTTTGGTTCGTAAAATGAAATTCGATGGAATTGGAATTCATCAAATGAATTTGACTTTGAGGGAATGAAATGAAATCTGATGGAATTTGACCATGCCTTGTGATTGCGTTTGGTTGCATGGAATTGGATTAGAGAAAGAATCTGCAGGAAATGAATTGAAATTCTAGCATATTGCCATGGAATTGTAAAATCTGTGTGTGAAGGAATCGACTGGAATTGAAAGGATTCCATAATCTTATTCCATGAACCAAACACTCTATTTCGAATTTGGTCAAATGATTGGACATTCCAATTCCTTTCAATTCCAATGATCCAAATAGCCCCTAAATGTGTTTCTATTTTTGAAGTTTATACATATAGGACTACATCTTCGTTGAATATAGCATCGTTCTCCTTAAAAACAACAAAATAATATCACCCTACAAACTTTTGATATTATATATATATATATATATGTGTGTGAGAGAGAGAGAGTTATTATGCAATCCTTTACATTTGTACAACTCAATCTCAACCGTCCATTTAATTTGATAGATATGTGATTTCATAAAAGTTTTGATTGTTTTTAATATAAAGTATTGATCATAATTAATGAACCCTAGTTATTTCCATAAATATTCAATAAATGAACTCTTATCATTTTCATAAATATCTTAATTGATTGGGTTGTATTTGAAACGTCAGTCATGACAAAATAACAACCAGGAGACCAAATCCATAATTTTTGTAACCAAATCCATAATTCACTCTTATAAATATTTATGATTACAAAAAATCTGAAAACTATAACTCATTTTTTTAGATAAAATGATTTAAGGATCATAAATACGTGAAAGTGTCGTGAGTGGTTGTTTTGAACTATTTAACTTCAATTTTTTAGTTAATTTTAATATTTATCGTAATTAAAACATACGCGTAGAATCTTCTATTGCTTTTTAAAAAAATATTATGTAATATAATTAAGGGATTGTTTGTTTATCTTTTAATAGTTTTATTAAGAGACATCTTCTGAATCGTTAATAGGTAAATCTTGTTTGGCAAAAAAAGTATGTCTCTTAATGGTTCTAAAACACTCTGAATAATTTTGTATCTTAGGCCACCCTTAACTATTCAGCATCCTAAATTTCATTATAAACAATTACCAAATAATTATATTTCATTTTGCACTATATTACGAGAGCCTCTTAATCATTCTGACCATTTAATCATTTTACACCAAATTATTCAGCAATTGCCAAACAACTCCTAAATCATTAAATAAAAAACGTTTAAATGAATGAGTAGCTTACTCATTCCATGGTTTACGAAGAAACATAAACAAACAAAGTTCATAGATACATTTGAAAAAGGCATAATAACATTTTATTAAAATTTAATTGTAATTAAAAATTAAACTATGGGAATAATCTTACTAAATCTTTTATTATTTTATAATTATTCCATTGTCTTTAGAATAATAGATAATTGCCATTTTCTAAGCCTACATGATATGATAGGCATGCTGATATCTTGTATTTAACTTGAAAACTCAACGATAAGGAATTTTTTTTGCTTTCATGGTATCAAGAGCTTAGGTCTCTTTTCCTTTCTTGGGTAGCGGATTTAAGATTTTTGTTAAATGATAATATTTTTAAATTGGATCAAATATCTGTAAAATCGTTCGATGTGTTTTTAGCTGAATTTTGCCTTCGGGGGATTTTATAAGTTTTTTGTTGATTTTGAGGACTTTTTTTAAGTTTTTAATTTGATTTCAAGGGGGTTTTCTATGTTCTATAACTGATTTCGAGGGACCTTTTTGGTTGATTTCGAGAGACTTATTCAGTTTTTTGGGTTGATTTTATATAGTTCTTCAACTTTAAGGATTTGATTCTTGTTATCTTTTACTTTAGTTTTCTAGTTTTCTAATTTTGTTTTCTTCTACATCTAGGATTTTAGTACTAAGTAGGATGGTTTGCAAATTAAAATTAGCTAACTGATCGGGCGTTAAAGCTAACACACCACAAACAACAATCAGGACCAAAAGCAAGTATACAAGTAGTCTTAATATCGTCTTTCAAGTAATAAAAGTGGTACAAGTACTGGATATCGTCCACATGGATCGTAGTAAAAGTTTAAAAGAAATTAAAGTTAAGGAAATGATTTCAGAAGACGAATTCGAAGACTTTGATTTGAA